CTGTTATCATTTTCATGCCTTCATATGAAAAAAAGGTCAACTAAATGCCTTACTAACAGATAAAGGAAAAAGATTATAGATCCTAAGAATGGATAAGTGAGAGATCTTTGAAAATTGGGAAGGTATTGAAGTTAATGTCCAGTTACTTCACAGCTTTGTGACTGAACTCTTTATTAAATATTCAGTGAAGAAAACCAGAAGGGAAAAAAATTGATTTCATATTTGAGGTGTATTTTTTGTTTTCATTTGCAGTAGCTGTGGTTGAGAGATATTTTTCTCATAGGCTAGATTTGCCCATTCTCTTCAGGTAGCTGAGAGATCAAAGAAACTTCAAAGCAAAGAGGAAAAACTGAAGAGGCTATTGAAAATCTCACTGCAACATTAGAACAGGACGTACTGCTTCCAGGCATGTGTGGCACCCAAGGCCAATCTTTGCTGAGCCAAGATTAAGAATTCGTCACAACTCAAGATTCAATTTTCAGGTAACTGAGATTGAAAAAGACCTGTGACTTCACATTCTGCAATGTGATCAGCCATTTACAGAAACATGGCCAGTGTTCAGAATCTGAATCAAATCAAAGTAGGTATGAAAACTCAGCTCACTAATAATGTAAACAAAAAGACCTACAGTTTTTTCTTTTTCCTATAGATTGCTAAAACATACTTTGGCTAATTTTTAATTATCAGTTATCTCATTTCAAGCTTCACCTTGCTATTCTAAATAAGTGTGTTCCACAGTTCAGCAGCCTTAGCATCACCTGGAACTTGTCAGAAAGGCAGAAGGTTCCATTGCAGATCTCTAAATCAGAATGTATATTTGAAAGCATTACATTTGTATGAATTAAAGCTTAAAACACATTAATCTAAAATCTGCTTCTTTGAAAAGCACATAAAATCCATGGGTACTTCCTTTGGAGAACAAAGACCACTGATTATTTGTTCATGGTATAATGGCATAACAACATGCTATTAGTAACATGCTTAGGGAAGCTTCAAATTTTGTGTTTCTATTCATTTACAATTTGAATGAAAGGAGCAAAAGTGATATAAAATCTCCTTGGATAGTACTGAATATTAATTTTCTTCCTTCCCTATATTTCGCTCTTAAACTTCTAATAATTAAAATTTTAATACTCCAACCCAACAGTCAGATGAAGTATTTACATATTAAATTCCTTGCCAGGAATGAAATGATTTTAATAATATTGTAAAAATGTGTAGCTGATGTCACTTATAGTGTCATAAGCAACATTATAAAAAGTATAGCTAATATTCAACACATTAAAGAATGTATAAGGTAGAATTCTGAATATGAGATTTGTCTTAACTCTAACATACAATTGCCAGCTTGCATTTCCACATTAAAATCCTCATATGAGACAAATTAAACACAACTAAAGCTAGAACCAAACAAAGAGAAGGTTTTTGTACAGCAAAATCTCATTTTTTACCTATGTAGTCTTACTTGGTTAATGACTTCTCCACCCTCATAAGTTATTCTGGATAATAATGAAGTCATGTCCACTTATTTTTATCATCCAAATCATATCTTTAAGTGCTACTTTTTTTTCACCCCTTCTAATACTATAGTTAGGATGGTGCATATCACATTATACATGAAATTACGGTAAGTTTACTATCTGGGTCTTTATATCTTTGATCTCTGTCTTCTCCCAAATTACTTCTTTTTATCAACCATTTTTAAATTAAAGTGCTAATTAGAACTTGATTTTCAAAATTTTTTACCATATTCTATTACTTATAAAGTTTGAATTTCTTTTGAAGCATACATTATTATAAATCAATGCTACCTCAAATTAAAAAAACACAAAATACACACAAAAATAAAGTTTAAATTATTTACCCTAGTGTTCAAAACACTATGCAATTACACATTTCCAAAGTCATCTCTTGCCACTTCTTCCAAGTACCTATTTTCCAGTTACTTTGAATTGCTCAACATTTTTTGAATGTTAAAATATATTGTTAAAATATATTTTTCACAATTGTACTTTAATTATACTGTTTTCTCACATTGGACTTTCTTCCTCACTGCTATTAACATTGTTTTGAGGCAAAACTCCTTAATGATGCTCTTAGTCTTGATTTTACAAAGGGCTTTTTTGTTTCTCCTTCCCTTATGGTCTCTCAATTATGTTAAAGTTTATTATTTTTAGACACTGTCCAGTCATCTGTTAAGATCTCTGAGAAAAGTTTCTAGATAGATCTCTTCACTAAATAAGATGCAACATATCAAACTTATTTAAACATTTGTTGAATTAAGTGTTACACTGTTAATTATCTATGATTATAAAATTGTATTTGTAATATAAATATTATATAAATTATTATATAATTATAAAATTAGCCTTGGAGATAGAGTTTTTGACTGGTTCTGCTAAGTTGAATCTGACACTGGTGCTACACCTGGGCAGTTCTGTGTGATAAGAAATGTGGGAAGAATTCTCAAATATCCAAATGTGTCATCTACTAGCAAAATCATGTTGGTATTTTATGAGTGGCCGTCAGATACAACATATTATTCTAATCCCTGTGAGTGCAAGGAAATTTTCCACCAGAATATACGTCACAGAATGTCATTTTGTTCACTAATGTATCAATCATCTTGTATAGTGCCTGACAGAGAGTAGGTACTCAGTAAATATGTTACGTGAATGAATGAACGAATAGGTGAATGAGATAATTTTTGCTGATATTGGGACTACTGGGAAAAATAAAATCAATTTCAAATACTAAGAGTACATGCAGGAAGGAATATATACATTAAAGGAAAATGAATTACAGGGCCTCCTCTGTGGCGCAGCAGTTGAGCGCTGGATTGCAAAGCTGCCTACAGCCTCTGCAGCGCTGGTTCGATCCCCGGCCGCCTGGCGAGGGTCCCACATTAAGCGCAGACCTCCCCTGCTGCCCGCTGCTCCCCTCCGCAGTGTGCTTCATCAGTCTGCCAGCTCTGCTCTCCCCTCTGGCTCTAGTGGATTCTCTCACCCTCCTGTGCTTCTGACTATACCCAGTGCTTATATAAATAAATAAATAAATCTTTAAAAAAAAAAAAAAGGTAAGAAAAGAAAATGAATTACAATAAATGCTAGGATGATTTGTACTAAATGTTTTCTGATATGCTTATACATTGTTTGCTTTTACAGACTCACACCAGGACGTAGATTTGGACTTGAGAGATGTATTTACATCCTCCTATCCTCAAGGAATGATCTCAGAGATCTCACAGATTATATGTGGTTCTTTTTAATTCCTCAACAATTATGAGTGATGATGCCAGTACAAATGCACTTAGCACAACCATAGAAAGTTAATTACTTATCCCAATTCTCCATAAATTTATAGGCATTAACAAAAGTTGTGGACAAAAAAATGAACCAGTCATCATTTTAATCAATTTTCTTTTATGACAATCAAGGTCTCTCTTTTGTTGTGTTGTTTTCTTCTTTCCTTCCTTATATGTGTTAATATAGAATTTCTGGGTCACTTTTCTAACTACATAATGACTGTATTTCTATGTTTTCAGAAATAAAACAAAAGGAAGTGATTTTTTTTCATTTACACTAGATATTACTGATTTACAAGGAGTCTATTGATTCTTATATATCTACATCACATTTAAATGTTATTCTCTGCATACTATTAATAACAATAGAAAAAATAATAAACAGCACCAATATCCATATTATGCCAGCCTCATGCTTGGTACTGAGGTGTGTAATCTCAACGAACACTTTCAAAATAAAGCATGGGCACAAGAATCAAGTTCATTTTAATCTATACAAATGAAACTTAATGAAGTTATACTCATTTTCTAACATTGACTTATTGATTGCGGTAGCAAATGGCTCAGATAAATGTCAGACCAAAAAGACATATGCATTACTATAAATGCTTATTCTTCTTTTAGCTTTGCTGATGATTCTGTTGCCCCAAAACACATGAATGTCTACAAATAATGAAAATCTGTTTTACAATGTTTGTACCTTTATTTTGATATAGCCAATTTAAACAGATTAAACAGAAAGCATGACACAGATTTTGAGTCTGAGATAAAAACATTCTATATATAGTTTGATTGGATGAAGGCAAAAATTTTAGTCTTTAATTTTGAGCCAGAAATGTGAATTATATTTAATCAAATTTTACATGGGGATAGTTAAATGAATTTCCATTTAGATGGAAGATTTGATTAATATGAAAGATTTGATTAATAGATGTCCTTGTATTGATCCATTCTTGCATTCATGAAATAAACTCTACTGGCCATGATGGATTAAGTTTGTTAAATACAGCTGGATATCACTTGCTGATAATTTACTTGCTATTTTTGCATCTGTATTCATAATAGAGGTTGATATATTCTTTCAAAAATCGTTGTTAACTTTTGTTATCAGCATTACAGGGTAGATTTTCTTCTTTCTCTTGTTGAATCAAGAGAAAGATTTTTGGCCTATATAAGGCCAAAAATTATCTGTTCCTTAATTATTTGAAATAAGTATTTTACAAAATAACCTGAAATCACACTTTTGGAGTGATAGAGAAATATTCTCATTTACTTCAGCTTTCTTAGGTTTTTGATAACTTTGATAATTCCCTGATGATTCATCTAGTCACAAAAAGAAACTTGAAAAACATTTATAAGGTAAATACATTTACATTCATATTTCTCTTTATTTACTTTTGTATACTTCATTCTGTGGCTGCCTAAAATATTTTGAACAGCTTTCCCACAGTTTGATAGCTCTCCACAAGTGAATCTCAAAACTATCAAAAAAATAAGCAAACAAATCAATACATTGATATTTCTTCACATCCATGTCACTATGATGTCAATATCAGATTTCAACTCTGCCAATCAAGATAGTTATGCAATTCTCATGGTTAGAAGCCAGTTGCAGGATAATCCAGACTAGACATGGACTAGACAAGTTAAGTGAGGTCATAATGGTGAGATGTCAATCCAACAGGATGAGTGTCATTACAAGAGACATCAGAAAAATCATGAGTCACCATCCCAGCAAAAGAAGGGGAGATCATTAGAACATGTTAAACACACAGAGGAGGCATCTATCTGCAGGCAAGAAAGAAATCCTCCTCAGAACCAGACTATGCTGATATCCTGATCTTGGACTTCAGTTTCCAGAGCCATGAGAGGTCTCTTTTTTTGTTGTTGTTTAAGCTGTACAGTTTCTACTATTTTGTAAAGTAGCCCAAAAAGACAATAAAATACTAATACTCTGGTTAACTTCAGAATCAGAGATAACAGTGAACAAATTACAACCTCACCATCTAGAAACTGATAACCCATACACAAGAAATTTTATTTTTCTAAGGTTGTGATTCCTCATCTATAAAATGATATTGTAATATAAAAATTATCTGTAACACTGTATAATAACTGCTCGATGGAAAGTTATGAGGATTTAACTATAGTTTGCAAATATTTGACATAAAACTGAAAGAATATAGAGTTCATTTTCAAGTTATTGATTATGTAATGAGTGATAATATTTTTGTGTATCTTTTCCAACTTTGCGTAGTTTGCTTTTTCTTTTTCTTTTTTTAAATTTTAAATTATTTATTTATGCATACAAGAACTGGGGTATAGGCCAGAGGAGTGGAGGGTAAGAGGATTCACCAGAGACAGAGTGGGGAGCAGAACAGGTGGATATACTGAAATACACTGCTGAGTGGAGCAACAGACAAAACAGAAAAGGTCTGCTGCACCATGTGGGTTAGCTTCCTGGACATGAAGCAAATTTATGCCTCAGTGGCTACAGATAGCTTGATAGCTTTGAGACTTTAGCCCTTGTGCCACCAGGGAGACCCCTTATTTTTATTTTCATTTGCTCTAGTTTTCTTGAACTGTTAACTAATTTACTTTTGTTCTAGTTTGTTAACGAAAGCTTTTTAAAAAGTTACTGCTTTTCTTACAAGTATAGCCTCAGTTGCATCATGTAAGTTTTGCTAAGAAGTGTTCTCACAATTTTTAAAATTTATTAATTTCTGCTTGGATTAAAAAAAAAATTTTAAAGATTTATTTATACAAGCACTGGGCACAGTCAGAAGCATGGGAGGGTGAGAGAATTCACCAGAGCCAGAGCAGGGAGCAGAGCAGACAGACTGAGGAAATACATTGCTGAGGGGAGCAGTGGGCAGCAGGAGAGGTCTTCGAACCATGTGGGACCCTCACCCGGTGGCCGGGGATCAAACTGGTGCTGCAGAGGCTGTGGGCAGCTTCGCAACCCAGCGCTCAACTGCTGCGCAACCGGGGAGGCCCTGGATTAAAAAAATTTTTAGGAGGGTTTTATCTTGGTTTTCATATACCTGACTTTTTAATTATGTGTTTATTTGGAATTATTTCATAATTAGTCAGAATATTGTTAGGGTACGTATTGAAAGTCTTTAAGTGAGTGATATGTATATTTGATCTATTTTTAAGGAAATTTATTTACATAACAATTATCTCAAGACTTCGTAAACATCCTCCACTGATTCTGGCATTTAGTATTATCAGAGAATTTGAAGGCTATTCTTTTATAGACAACCTGTTCATTTCTTATTTAGATCTGTGCTACAGATTTTCATATGTTCAGTTGACTTTCCTTTTACAAAGTTTAACCTGATACAGTAAAGTTTTTCCTAGAGTCTGTCTCATTCACTATACATTAGTAACATTTTTTTCAGAAAAAAAATTTCTTCAACAATAATTTAACATTTTTTTAAAAGATTTATTTATTTATTTATATAAGCACTGGGCACAGTCAGAAGCACGGGAGGGTGAGAGAATTCACCAGAGCCAGAGCAGGGAGCAGAACAGGCAGAAGGACTGAAGTACACTGCTGAGGGGTGCAGCGGACGGCAGGAGAGGTCTGCGAGACATGTGGGACCACCTGGCAGCTGGGGATGAAACCGGTGCTGCAGAGGCACCGGGCAGCTTCGCAACCCAGTGCACCATTGTGCCACCAGGGAGGCCCAATAATTTAACATTTTTAACCATAGTTTAATTATTCTTTTTTTCCCCTGTTGAACCCCTTGTAATTACACTCTCTGTAACTTATTTTTAAACTTTACTTTCTCTCTGCTATGATGGAATGTATATAAAGCCTATATTTTATACCATTACATCATTAAATTGTTTCTTTCTTTGGGAATCCTATTCTTTGATTTTCCTGATGAAAATTTAATTCAGACATTTGTTATTTTGTTTTCTTGGTTTCCTCTTTGTCCTTCCTTTTCATCTTATCCTGTTTAAACTTGATGGTTTTCCTTATCAAGGATATCAAAAGTTTTGTGAATTTTTATAGTTTATATAGTACCACCTCATTTTTAGAGCTGTCATTTTCTGGTGACTCTTCATTTTGACATGTTCTTTCTGCAGTGTGTTTACTCTTCTCATCACTAAGTTTTATTTGCAGAATCCAGATGTTGATATTGGCATTGCTTACCACTCTGATACTGGCTACACCAGTCCTCATTTTGGAGTCAGATTTAACCTGGTGAACAGGTAAACACACTAAAGTCCAAGCCTATTATCTAATGTCCAGTAAATATTCTCATCAGAGCAGAACTTCTTTACTTTTTTGTTTCACAGAAATATCTATCAGCATAGTGTATCATCAAGAAATCTTAAAAAAGTAAATGGAATTCCAAGAAAACAAATTAAAATAGAGGCATGTATTTTTAAAATAAAATATATATCATATACCAATAAATGTGCTTCTTCATTAATCATCAATACCGACATATAGCAAGAGATCTCAAAACAACCATAAATTGAAAGTATTCATGAACCTAAGAGATATGAAGCCACTAAATATATCAAATTTTAATGATTACTCTTGGGGAGAAAGTCAAAAGTCCTGCAAATATGACTCTGGTTTATTTACTGTATTTATTTTTGAAAGAAAAGCTATTTCTCAGCTATGAATTTTAAAAACAAAGATTTATTTTTCCCATCTAATTTAATTGTCTCCCTGAATTCAAATCCTAGGTTGGAGCACCTGCTGTGGTGTTATTCCATTGGATGTAACTGGAACAATCTATTTCCTAGTCTAACATTTTAAAACTCTAATTGAGTTCCATGAATAAATATGAGACCTAGAAATAAAGTTTTCAAACATCTCCAGTTTTCCCCTTATACATCATTGCTCATTTGCGGGAACTGGAAAAAATAGAACTTATAAGAAGAAAAGAATTATACTCTGCCCTTTCCAAAAAGTCACACCTTTAAAAGAGGAATGGATGCTCAATTTTCTGCTTGATACAGAGCCTTTGTTTCCAAGAACAGTTGAAAGTAATGATGAAAGAATAGAATACATTTCTACTGTCTACCATGTGATAAGGGCTGCTGCTCGATTTCTTGAAATTATATTTATGTTACCTATCAAAGGTTTGTTACCAAAGAATTCTACCATCATTTCTCTTAGTCCTTTTCCCATAACTGTCTTGACATTTTGGGAGGCAGTTTGAAAATAACTACATTATGGTTGCTATTCAAATGCAATCATAAACCTAAGGTATACCAATCTATTTTAATTTTACACTGATAGCATATCCACAGCTAAAACATAATTTTCAAGTATAGTTGATTTTTGAAATACTATCCTGTCTATATCATATTATTGCTTTATTATAAATATTAAAGTATTGCCATGAATAAAATAGATGAATTCTATCATTAAGAATAGAATAATGAGAATAGCTTTTCTATTAACATGTTCAATTTTTTATTTGATTGTTTCCCCTTGGCCAAAATACACACTTGTAAACTTAAATGTGTTTTAATACTGACACATGCACACACACAAACACATGCAATATTGTACATAGCTATTCCACATTTCATGCATGAATGCATTCTTTCAGTTATACATACAGAATAGATGATGGATGGATGGATAGATGGATAAATGATAATCGATAGTTATATTTTCAACTCTTTTCTTCTCATTCTAATTCCTATGACATCACTGAATGAGCAGTTAATATTGGAGAGAAAAAAAAACTTCCTTGTATTTTTAAAATTATGTGTGTTCTAAATTGCTGCATAGCTATCAACTAACCCTTTATTCTCAGTTTCTGCCTCATTACAATACACCCTAGGCTTGTTGATCTCTTGTCCAGCTCTAACAGAACCATAGAGAGAACAAGACTAGTAACAAGTAACCATGGAAACCAAACACCATAAGAGTTTGCACAGAATACAGGAAGTTATACTGCTGTGAAATTTCATTTAAATGAAATTTTCTGATTGTTTATGGATTTGGATTTTCTGGAAAAGAAAAAGGATCCATTCCTCAAGTCAATAGGTTATCCATCTAGTGCAGGAACTGTTCTTTGTACAGGGAAAATGATGGAATTCCATAAGACAAATATATTCAAAATTTTCAAAGAAAAAACAGAGCACCTATCTCAACTGAAAATACTTCTTAGCAAGTAGCAAATAATGGCCTCTATTTGCTATTGAGCTAAAGAAGATAATTCTGAGAAAAGAACAGCCATCTTAGAAACTCCATTATTAGTCTGACTCTTTAATATGTCTTTGCTGCTTTTTTCAATAGAGCTAGTGAAAATACCACAGAGATTACATAATCTTTGGGTGTGATACTTGGAAAATATATTGCCTTCTTTTTATAAATAATAATGTATATCAAACTATCTGCAAAATTAAACCAAACATATTCAGCAAAATATAATAAAAACAGTGTAGGGTACAAAGATGTTTCATCCAAATGATTTAAGAATTATGAAAGGTAGTCAAAGCTAAGGCAGACAGCAATTCAGGAATATTATTAACAATTTCTGGATTCCCACATATTTCTTTATCTAGACATTCTGCCTTATCCAAAATTTCAAAATACCTGAGGAAGAAGGTGCTAAATCTCTTTCCCCTTAAAATTTTTGCTCTAATTCCTATCTCCTTTGGGTATATTCCTTGGGGTATATTTTGTCTATGTATAAATATTCCCAAACATTGATATTTTTCATGTTATAGTCATCTTTGACAACACAAGATGCTACAACAAAACTATTTCTCAGACCCCACAGTGAAACATATTTCAGATTAAAAGTTTGAGATAAGTATTTTATAACAGTACAATATCTAGGAGTAGAAATAAAGGAGACCATGTAGTCCTCCATGAAGTGATGAT